GTAAACCGACATTATATTCATGCTTTTATAATATATATATATATATATATATATATATGCTCTTTTCTTTGAAGGACGTTTATTAATAATTTCAACGAGCCTCGCTTCTTTTCTTTGAGTTTCTTTTTATCATTTTATTAGACTGAAGGTGGAGTATTCTTCAGGGAGCGCAATGATCTAAAGAATAGCCTACGGTAGATAGCTATGAATTCTATCTCCCTATAGTGGGTGTTGAAGAGTGAAAGAAGAATTATTAGGCTCACACGGGAGGAAAATTAAAGTTTTAATAAAATTAAGTTATTAAAGTGTGCTCTGTTAAATAGCTTAAATTTCTCGATAAGATGGTCACATATTCACTAACCTCTTTATAACACCATCCTTATATAACAGTCATTCACTATAAAAGCTAAGCTTTCCTCAAAACCGATTTTTTAAGTTATATTTTACCTCTCTACAACAGCTTTTTACCTGTAACAACAATAGCCATATTTATAGCAGAACGATCTTTGTAAAATTAACCTTCTATAACAGCCATATAGAATCCTTAAGGTTACTAATAATAATTTTAAAAATATGCACACAATCTTTTCTATTGCACAAAGTTTCTATTTTGCATAAGACAAAAGATTTGAAGATTTGCACATAATATCTTTTTCACTCGACAAATGCCAAAAAATATTTAGATAGAAGATTTAATTGTTAAGCTCTTAGATTGCTTCAAGTGAAAGCTACTGGATACCTTTTTTCTGAAAATTTGGATACGAATCTTCGCCAACTCAAACGTTATATCGCTAGTAAGAGAATGAAATCTACGAAACAAGCTACAATTACAAAGTTCTTCCATTAATCTTGAAAGAATTTATTTTTCTAAGTAGCTTTAAATGTGTGACTTAGAGTTTAAATTTTTATCATTTAGTTATGAATTTATTAATAATATGTTAGCTTTCTTCAATATTTAACTAGTTAAATACACATATCTTTTGAAATTTTAAATTTGAATAATTTTTTTATTTTTTATATGTCACATTAGAAAAGGATAAATAATTGATCTTTGGATAATTTAATTTATAAGGCCAAACAATATTTAACGCCAAATGCTAATATAGGTGTATAACAGTCATTCCCTATAAAAATCAAAAAATATCGGAACAAACGATGTTGTTATAAAGAGGGTTGACTGTACTACCCAAGTAGGAAGGGGCTAATCCTTTTTATTAAAAAAGAATAATTTTCGCGTGTTTGACCCAATGAAAAAAGTCAAAAAAAGTAAATGTATATCCTCTCTTACCGCGGGAGAAATGATCTAATGATAACATGCTTAATTATGCTAACAAGTTAACATGGAATCCATGTTATTATCATTTCCCGTTTTTGGAATGGAAGTCCTTCCAAGAGCTTACATCGGCCTTTTCTTTTCTTGTTTATACGGTTATAACTTTGATTCTCTTATGCCAGGGGATTTTCTGGAAGAAAAGGAGGAGGAGAAAGGAAATATGAGCTTTGTGATCCAAAAACTAGTTCTGGCATCTAATAAATTGTGTTATTTTGCTTTTTTTTTCAGCTCAGTAATTTCAACTCCTTTGAGGGGGTAATTTACTGTAGGCCTCACTTTGATCAGCTTTTTAAGAGAACTGGCAGTTTGGACAAGAGTTTTGACGGTATATAACTCATAGTCTTAAATAAAATACACAAAAATAGAAAGGAGTATTGTAGCAAATTAAAATGAAGCAGTTAAAAGTAGAAATGCTAAGTTACCATATAACAACTAATCAGGCACACTAGTTACTTGCTTTGAAACATGAATATGACTTGCCAGTATATTTTTGCCAACTTTGCTTCTTTGGTATTTATCAGGAACTCCGAAAGTCACAAAGCCAGAAAAATCTGTGGAGAACGAGGTAACTTTCGGCATGTTTCTTGCATAATCAGAATGATCCTCCTATCTCTGTCTTTGTGCTTTTTGTTTAATTCCAATTTCTGAAATATATAGAATGGTAGCGGGAGCAAAGTCTCAAGTTTATTTGCAGGCACGAGGGAAAAATGTGTGGGCTGCACTAAAACTGTCTATCCGATTGAGAAGGTAACAACAATGAATAGATGATCGATCAAGTATTTATTTTCCCTTAAATCAAATACTTATCCAATTTCAAACAATTTTATGTATGTTGTTTAAGGTTAGTGTGAACGGGACAGCATACCATAAGGGCTGCTTCAAATGCAGTCATGGAGGCTGTACAATAAGCCCATCAAATTACATTGCACATGAGGGAAGGCTTTATTGCAAGCACCACCATATTCAACTCTTCAAGGAGAAAGGCAATTACAGCCAGCTTGAGTCTGACCATGAAACATAAAGTTAAAATGCCAAATAGAAACAAACAAAAAAAAAAAAAATCTCTCTTTCATTTCTCCCTATCTTTTCCGCAGCTTCGTTTCACTGATTCTTGATTTTGTTCTTTCTTACGGCGTAAATTCAGTTGTCTCTATCCATTTTGGTTGTATGTATTCTTGCGGGTTTCTGTACATTGTAGCATATTGAAGGTTGTTTTAAAAAATTTACCAGAATCATTGTAAAGTGTAAATTTGTTTCCTCCATTTACCTCAACTTTTAAAGAATGAATTTTAAGAATCAAACCATCACAATCACAAACAAGGGTTAGCTTCTTCTTTCTCTACTTTTTTCACTCCTAGTCACAGAGGAGAAATGAGGCTCAAATACTTGAGAATCCAATAGCATAAGTGAGAAGTTATAACCACACGAAAAGAAGATGAAAAAATCCCAGGAAACGTGAAACTAATCTATATATGGAAACTGCTCTGCTTTTTTATCATCCTATTCTTGGAGAAACACAACCCAAAAAAAAAAACTTTTTTTATTGGGTTTTAACGCAAGAAAAATTTTGTCACGCATTGTTGAATAAGAAAAAACAAACAACAACAACAACAACAACAATAAACCCCGTATAATCCCACAAGTGGTATCTGGGAAGGGTAGTATATACGCAGACCTTACTCCTGCCTTGTGAAGGTAAAAAGGATGTTTCCAATATACCCTCGGCTCAAGGGCATCATAGTCACAACATAGTTGAAAAGAAATACGATATTGAAAAAGTCATGAAAACGAGGAAGTAATAAAGCAAGATAATAAGATAACAAGCAAGAGAAATAACATGTACAAACAACAAGATAATAAGATAACAATCAAAAGAAATAACATGTACTAATAGAAATCTAAGAATAAGAAAATACAAGAATAATTCTAATAATACTAGTATGAAAAATAAATATGCATGACTAACTCCTAATCCTCTATACTGATTCTCGACCTCCCCACCCTCTTATCAAGGGTCATGCCCTCAATAAGCTGAAGATGTGTCATGTCCTGCATAATCATCCCTCCCCAATACTTTTTTGACCTAATTGTGCCTCTTCTTAGACCCACCATGGCCAACCTCTCCTATTTAGGCTTGATTTTCTAAATTATTTCCAACTTTGTAACCTTCTTTTTTCCCATGAGTATATTCCATAAATACATATTCCTTTTAATACACGAAGTCCTCCCAGACGTGAATTCCTTTCAAGGCACGGATATGATCTTCTGGGAATCCTTACTCGCATGGGAATGTTGTCCTTTGGCATCTGAATCGCTTTCTTCTACTGGTATACTGCAAACCTGGTTCACTTGACTTTCATTTTTCTTATCTGTACAACAATCTAGCAGCACACAAAACTGGAACATGAAGCTTGATTCTCAAAGTTTGTTAATCATCAAAATATAGTACATGCTCTGCTCAACAAATTTTCCATTTTTGATGATGACAAACCCATGTGCAAATCAGTCAACAGCTTACTCAATTTTCATCAGTCTTCAGCATAAAAATCAATTTCATTCACGTCACTCTTCTTTAGTTTGTCCATGTTTGCACAAGTATAAAGAACTCGCCTTCCATTCATCGCAACCTGTAGATGGCTAGGCATAATTCATTGTAGAACCTGCAAGAAGAAAAATCAAGAGTATTTTCTTTTATTAGTCCAAGTGACATACAAGAACCAGATTTATAGATTAAGCACATACCTAACTTCTGCTTTTTGGCATCATCGAAAAAAATAAAAATAAAAAAGTAAGGTCAATGAGAGAATGTAGTAATATAAAACTCATGGCCAGTTTGGGGCTACACTAACATGTACATATCATCAGAAGCATACATGAGTAATCAAGTAAAAAGTTAGCCCAGACACATAACTTTTCCAAAAGTCAGAAAATTTTATCCTTTTGTCATTTGTCATGCCATGTACCACATTAAGTCCAAAAGGGCCTAAACCAAAAGATGATTGAACAACTCCGTCAAACTGCCAACAACAGTAAAACAAAAAACAAATCCAGACTGGTCATAGAGGGGGATGCAGGACAAGGTACTGGTTAAGGGTAAGATAAGGCACCTAAGAGGACTGAGAACCAGGTTCTGAAAGAGGGTTCTCCTTGGATAAGCCCCAGAAGCCTGTCAGTTCTAGCAGCAGAAGCTACTTGCTCCTTCTTTTTCTCCTCCTTTAGCCTCTTGTTTTCCTCTTTTAGTGAGGCAATTTCTTCCTTCAGCTTCCCCTTTTTTTCTCATTGGCAACAACCAATTCATCCAGTAGGTTAGAGACCAACTCTTACTTTTGGTTTCATCTGATCAAGAAACACAGTCGCATTCCCTCAGGGTCTCCTCATCAAACATGTCCTTCTTTGTTCCCTTTTTAGGACCTTTGAGGGGAATCTTAAAGTGCTCAAACACCCTGTTCAATAGAAATCCATAGGGCAGAGCATAAGTACCCTTTCCTGATCAGCAGCCCTTGCCATGTGTTTCAACATCAAAGATGGGAGGTTGATTGGCCTGTTCTAATCAAGGACCTCGATCACTGCCAAATCTAGGTAGTTCGCCTCATGCCTTCTTTCAGAACAAGGCAGCAAACATTTGTTCACAAATTCAAACAACAGCTTGTGAACCAGTTCTATCTCACCCTTTCCTACCTTCCTAGCAGTCAACTTCTCCCTTTTCTGATTGTACTTATTGGTCAAGTAGATGGCATCTTCCTTTTTCCCAATTTAGGCCACTCATGCTTCACGTAAGTATCAAAACCTTCCACTGACACATTCAAAATTTCTCCCAGTATCTTAGCATCAAGAACTAGGTTTACTCCCCTGACTTAAGTACTCATTATGCCATTCTCCAGCACTTTAAAGTTCATTTAAAAATGAAGCATTGCTTTACCATACATGACTAGGAGGGTCCACCCCTGGACCTCCAACTTCTCCAGCAACTCCTTCATCCCAAACATTATCACCACAGCAGGGTCAATTACTCTACCCTTCCGCATTATTAGCCAAGTAAACCACTCCTCTCTGCCAACAATGGCAATTTTTCTCTGAGTCATTTTTGTAAGGCCCCATAAAAATAATTTTCCAAAAAACCCAGGTTCTCTGAGTTCGGACTTTTTGGATTGATCAGTGCACTGGGAGTTGAAGGAAAATGTTGGGCAGAAGTATGCATTTCTGCGGCCGCAGAACCACTCTGCGGACCGCAGACTAGTCGCAGAGTGGGGCAGATTTCTGGGGCATTTTGATGCCCAATTTCGTGGACATTATGTGACCGCATAACCGCTTCGCGGGCCGCATTCTTGTCGCATATCCGCCTTGGGATTTTTCGGAGGGAGGTTCTGCGGTGCACTATGCGACCGCAGAACCATTCTGCGGTGCATTATGTGACCGCAGAACAGGTGTGCGGGCCGCATAGTGACCGCATACCAGATTAGTTCTTTTCCAGTTCTGGCCCCCTTATTTTCGTGGTCATTATGCAGATCGCATAACCATTATGCGGTCACATATGCGACCGCGGAACTCATTCCGGAGCTTCATTTTTTGGGTTTTTAAACCCGACCCAATTCCTTTAAAACACACCCCATGGACCATTTTGATCATATTTTCTGATAATTTTAGAGTGAAAGAGAGGGTCCTAGAGGGAGAAGTGATCTTCATCACATTGCTCTTCGATTCTCACTTAAAATCTTGAAGATTATCAAGAGAGGCACCAAGGTCTTCTTCCTAAGAGGTAAGATTCTATCACCCAAACTCTTAATTTCAAAATGTAACTAGAATGGGCCATTAGTAAGGTAATTCATGGAGATGGGAGTGCTTACCTTGCATGCATGTATCCTTGTAGTATGTGGGAAGATTGTGAGCTAAAAATGATAGAGAGTGGGTTGGGAATGATGGAATCTTCTACAAAAAGGTCCTTAAAACATTGATGCACACCTAGTGTTTGTTAATATGCTCAAATGAGCTAAAACCATGTTCATCTTCCTAATTTTGGTCCAACTTGTTATATTTCAAAAATATATTGAAGTTGCTAAGAATTTCGGATCATTTTAGAGTTTGAGAAGCTTAATTGAGGTATGTAGGCTAAACCCCCTTCTCCTTAGAATCGAACCCCACGGTGTTCATGTAATTGGAATAAGCTCTTGATCATTATAGAATTGGCGATTTCTAATGTGTTTGTGTTGAAGAATGTAAGTTCAATATTTATTCTAAAGGCTTCATCATGTTATCTTGTTATTTGAGGATGTGTTTAAAAATATGGAATATGTGTTAGAACTGTTAAGACTTCATGTCAAGATTGAAATAAAGGCTGTTATGCCAAATTGTATGAAAAACTTCTATGTGCCTAAGATTCCCAAATTTCTCATATGTGAATTTAATGTCTTGAATGGGAAGCCTTATTGTTGTTGATAATGATAATGATATTAAATGTGGAAAAGGGGTCTGGAACTATGAAATACGGCCAAGTGCCAAGAATGACTTTGTAATCGTAATCACTAGTGCCAATGAATCGAAAGTATATGAAAGAAGTACGATGTGAGATGATTGACTGAAAAAGGTAATGTTTCAAATGAGATGGCCTAGACGATCGGGCCGAGATCGGACTCCGTGTAAGAACACGGTGGTATTGTGGATGAAATTATGAAAAGGGTTGATGTCTCAAATGAGATGGCCTACCTGATCGGGCCGTGATCGGACGCTATGCCGCACACATGGTGGTACTATGCTGGAAAGTTATAATGAAATTGTGGTAATGTCTCAGATGAGGCGGCCTAGTCGATCGGGCCGAGATCGGACTCTGTGTAAGAATACGGAGGTATTGTGAATTGTGGAATATCGGTATTAAAGGTCACCCAACCTAGTAATATGAATATTGTCTTGAAAATGTATATGATCTTTAACTTGTTGTTTTACTATTATTTGAAGCCATTATTGAATTCTTGACTGTTCCTCTTGTATTATTATTCATTCTATTGAGTTGGTGTTTAGCTTTATATACTAGTGATATTCGACGGTACTAACGTCCCTTTTGTCGGGGGTGCTGCATCTTTAAATGGATGCATGTGGTTACATAGCAGACAGTGTTGATCACAGATAGTGCTACCTCCTCTTCTCAGCGGACTCGGGTGAGCCCCATTTAATTCCGGGGTCATGTATTGTACCTTTTGTTTATATTATGGTCACTCTTTAAGGTATAGTCGGGGCCTTATTGCCGGCACCACCCTTACTCTCTT